TTAGCAAGCTTTCGGTTTTATTGCAAAACTATAACTACATCAGCAAATAATAGTAATTTTAAAACATGGATGTAAGAAAAAAGTTTAGATAATAAAAACATCGGAGAAAACGTTCGGGAATTAATCATAAGTCAACAGATACAGAAAGACGTCTTTGATTACAGCTAAATTAAAGCTCCAGGGACCGCTCAATGTCGTGGATAAACATCCCTTTTCCGAATATTTCAGACAGATATGTTTTATTGCCTTTATTAGGTAACGAAACAGGGCCCCCCGCGTAAGGCCCCACGGGAGGAATGATCAACCTTCACAATAGGTTCCCTGGCCCCAGGGAATCGTCGCTTGTGTATTCATAGGCAACGTAGGATCGCCACGTGACGCTTCCAGTTCCTTCAGAAAACGTTGTATACTGAAGGTAGTGTATTCAAAGTTTACTAAATCTCTTAATGATCTGAGTCACATGCAGTCCTCGACTCCCTATTTTTTTTATTTTACACACAACTCATACTCGTTCTAAATCATTTTTGTTGTTGTTAGTGCTGACTAAAAACATGACTGTTTGTCATCAATTTATGCGTTTGAATTAGAACATTATCCATGCAGTTCGGTTTTTGCTGCAAACAGTCTGTTTTTAAAATTGAGCAACCGGATCTGAAGTTGGAAAGCCGTTTTTCCAATGCTTGATACGGAAACATTAACGCCATAAGAAATTMTCTTTTAAAATTTTCATCCAAAATTCCATTGGATTAATTTAAACGTCTGCTTTAAAAAAGTATTGAAAAAGAAAAGACCATTAAATTCCCTTTCATTTTTACGTCACAAATTCTTGAAGGCCGCAATGCCTGTCGGTACTAGCCAACCAGGGTTTGCCACGGCTAGTCACGTGATAAAGCCTGTGTTTCTTATTACATCACAACAAGAACAAAATGGAGGGGATGATGGATTCGTCTGCTGTAACTCTCGTCGTTAAGACACCAAACAGGAGCATAGACGACCTGCAAATAAGCTGTGCTTTGAACTGGACTGTGGAGAAACTAAAGAGACATCTTTCAAGCGTATACCCTAGCAAACCGGTGAGTTTTTGACGTGCTTCGTCSAAGAAATTTCACTTCCTGTAACGATTRTTTGTCTATTTGGAAAATTCCTGTTCTCTCCGACTGTGTTTCGTAGTTTTAAAGTCGATATTTTTATGYCAGGAAAGTAAAAAACAAAGGCTTATATACTCAGGACAGCTACTACTCGACCATCAAACTGTAAAAGATTTTCTACGAGAGGTAAGATAAGTACTTTAAGCTTAAGTTACGTGTATATCAGCTGTGACGACGATTAAGATTATTTGAATACCTAAAAGCTATTCCAAGTTGATTTTGGACGTTTTCTTTGGATATTGTATATAAAAAAGACATAATAAATAAGTTAAAAGAGAAATGTCCGTTCTATGTGATCAGACTACGTAGACATGTAGTAACTTTTACTTTAAAGGTTGTTGAAATTACAATTACTTCTACCTGTATTTCGCTAACACAATTTACACTTTTTGGTGGGTCTGGGYTATATTCATCTACCTTATTACTTCTAGACGGCAAATTTAATTGTTATTTTAAAAATAAAAATAGCKTATTGCTCTGATTTGTTTAAAGGTCTTCAAATTGATTTATAATTTAAAAATGTGATGTTGCATGCATACATTGATGTGTTTTGACTGCAGGTAAAAAGCAGTTAKATTAAATGATAAGCTTAAGAGATGATTAAATTGTTGGTGGATACTCTTATGAGCATGTAAAAATCATACTAAAAACAACTATAGAATAATACAAAGTGAGCAGAAAGTGTGAAAAAATRRAAGAAAACTCAAATGAAAACCWCTTAAACTCTCTGCTTTCTGCRTCWCTTGTGTCTCCATCTCAAGATTCTTCATTAGTGCAAATTAGCCCTTTTGAAGGAGTATGTTTATTTTTAAAACATGAACAACAGTTATGGGGGATCACAGCTTGTCGTACTACATGAAAACAATTTTGTATGTCAATATAACAACAATGTCTTATTGTAACTTCAGCATCAAGATGGTAAATTGCATACTGTCCACCTCGTCTGTCCACCATCAAATGGTGAATCATCACCGTCTACATCAGTGGTAAGTGCAAATTTAAAATTTAAATTTTAAAATGCACTTTCTATTTAACGTCAAGAGGTTGAGTAGATTAATGAATACCATTCATTACTCATCGTGATTGAAATTGTACAATCAAGTCAGAATTAGATAACTCTAGTCAAGCATAAAACAAAAAGGTTCTTATGTAGTAGATATTTAAACATAGCATTATATTATAATGTTGATTGTGGTCATTTTTCTCACAGGCCAGAGTTATTGAGCCCTCAAACAAAATTGCAATTCGTTGTGTTCAATTTTGTGACTCRAACACATTTCMACACAAGCAGAACTAGTTATATTAAGCAATAGTCTATGTAAAATATGTCATAGTTCACTGTCAACAATAAAATAATTCTAMCAAAAGTGGCTTGAAACAAATAAATATTGTCATTGAAATATATGGCTGTATTATTGATTGTTAACTGGAATGTACATGTATTTACACTTTTTTTCCAGGAATCTAGTCCATCAAGTCCTAATACAACAAGTATGACATCTACYCCATCCCCCACCCCTACCCCCACAACAACTCAGCCAACCAATGAAGGACTACGATACCGAGGGCATAATACTCCACCATTTCCAATGTTTGCTCCAAGGTATGAGATCCTGCAAGCTCTTTTTTAATCTTCATGCAATTTTCATTTAAAAGGTAGAGTCTACATAATTGCCCTATGGCATAATGACGTCACAATATGTTTACATCATGGATAGATGCTCATATCAGAAAGACTTGAAATTTGGACCTATTAATATTCTTTCCAAAAGTAGAACTTTAGTATATCGAGTTTTGATGTATATCATTTATCAATGATTGCTCATCTATATTTTATTTGATATGCAGTCACTCTGATCCCTGCTATCACCATAATCCTTAGCTTTAAAACAATATAATGTTTTGGTGTGACGTAATTATACGATAAGGCACTTGGTATTATGCAGGGCACATTTTGGGTTGGTCCATCATCACCCCTATGTCTTTTTAAGGGACTAAATCATTGACAGTGAATGAATTTAAGGAATTAATGTGGTTCCTTTACAGTCCTCCCATGTGGCCAACCAATGGACATCCTCGATTTCCTCCCCCTATGTTCCCTCTACCTCCGAACCCACAGATGACCTATCAGYTATGGATGCAACACATGCAACAAATGTATCAACAGCAGATGGCTGCTGCTAGCCGTCARCAGCCCAACTTTATGTTCATGCCACCCAACATGTAAGTACAACTTGATGTACCATGATTATAACATTAATTTATGTCTAAATGAAATCRAATATTTCATGTTTTAGATATTGACTTTCTTTTACTTCATTTGTMCTTTAAGAACTACAGTTGAGTCATTTTCAACTTCAAGGCCAGTTTCGTGTACCATAATAACCTTTTCAGTTGCTAAAGTGTTGAAATTACCACTATAAACAAGCTCAAATAACACACACTTTTAAATTTCMAAGACATGTTTTGACTTTCATAAAGCTATCTTCAATTTAAATATGATTACAATGCGATGGCTTTATGAAAGTCATGAAACATATTTGAAATTTAAAAGTGTTGTGTTGTTTTTAAAGATTATTGCATCACTTGTGCTTTTACGCTCACTTCCTATTTTCTCATAGTCCATGTTTACCTCTAGAGTAGATTGCAATAACTTCTAACTTTAAAGTTGCTTATAATATTGCAGCAAGAGTCATGTAATTTTGATATGAAATCATGTTTTAGAAAGTATATTTCTATTTTCATAGGCAAATGCCACAGATGTCACAATGGCCWTACCCAAGTCCATTACCCGGAACAATGCCTCCGACCACTCCACCATCACCACAACAATCAACACCACYGCAAACACCCCAGGCGGCCCCTCCTCCAAACCCAGCCAACGCTCCCCAASGTCAAGCCGCRCAACCCAGAAACCAGGAAGTAAGGATGAATGCRCAAGGAGGCATTGCAGATGATGATGATGACGAAGAAAATCAGAATAATGATTGGTTGGATAAGATTTACACTTTGTGTCGTGTGGCTATACTTTTGAGTATAGTTTGGTTTTATTCTTCTACGGGACGTTTTCTGATGTTGATTATATCTGTGTTCTTGATCTACTTGTATCAGTTGGGCGTGTTCCATTGGTTTGTACAGAACAGGAATCCACAGCCAAGAGGTAAG